TATCGGTGATGTCCTGCCAGTACCGGCCCTTTGAGTCGCTTATAAAATAGCTGACAGTTAGCGACGGGAGGTATTGAGTGATGGATGCGAATGAGGACCGCAGGCATAGGATGTCTTTGGGAAAGGCTTCCGTCGGACTCAACAGTAAGACATTTATGAAAAGACAAAATACAAGACATTTGACAAACATTTTGCTTTTTTTTGAAACAAATGCCTCCGAATTTAATACTGAGTTTATGGCAAATATTCAAACACTTCTCAAAACTGATAATTTTTATGACAAATCTAATGATAAGTTTTGTATTGAATGCGCGCACAGTATATGAGAGTAATAATTATTTGCCGACTTTTGGTCGCGTGAAGTGTTCACAACTTTTTTGATTCATTCAATACGAATAGCTTAAAGATATTTTCTCTTATAAACTGAAGACATCACAAACAGTTGATCCATAAGAATGTTTGCATTTCTGTTGATCGCATTTCTACTGATTTCGCCAAAGATTGACTTCACTGATGGCAAAGTGGGTCCAACTGTTGCCTCTAGAGGTGGGCCTGTCATGAAGGATAAGACACGACACTCGCACCACCACAGGCCAGAGGTATGTCCACCAATGGACTGATGAATGCATTTATATAATTGAAAACCTATTGATATAGTCGTTGGGCGTTGAAAAGGATGTGAATCCACGACAACCGGCTGACCCGGTAGCTATTGAAACAACTGTTGATACCCCTGTGGACCCTGGTAATCTCAACCCAAGTGCCAGTGATGCGCCAGCACCTGTCGACACAAATAGTGGTACCGGTGGCGAGAACGACACTACAACTGATACAGTAGTAGATCCAGTGGTGACATCAACAGTAGTAGGTCCAGTGGTGACATCAGATGCTAACAACACCGGTGTTAATGCTAATGAACCTGCAGCCCCTGTCCCTGATGACAATATACAAGAGGATGCCATACCGGGTGACCTGCCAATTGCACCCCCAAATGAGCCTAAGAAGCCTGGAAAGGGTGGTAAACCAATCAATATTGTGATTTATATATTGATCGCAATTGCCATCATTAGTATTCATTGCTTTAGCAGTGATTTGGTATACAATTAATGTTTCTGAAAGTCGACAATTGATCTAAACTTTGTGTTACTTTTTTAGGGGTTATTTGAAATACAAAGACAATGAAAGTCGAGAGAAACCGACAGAAGAGACCAAAATCGGTGGTAAGCCTACTGTGAATATCTTATGAATGGAAATAAGTTTATCTATAATTACCTGTCCATAAAATAGCCGCCGTAGTCTCGAAGCCTGAGCCCACAGCGGGACCTCCCTCTGAGGTAAAGGGAGCACCGGATCTTAAGCCTGAGTCTCAGGAAAAAATTGAATCAAAAGCCTGACTCAAAGGAAAAATTAGATCAGAAACAGGACTCAAAGGAGGCGTCGACTGATAAGCCGCCATCAGATAAAGGCAAGGATGCGAAGAAAGAGTCGGAAACTACCGGCGCCGACACTAAGGCCATCGACCAAAAGCCTAAGTCCGCCGAATCAGACGTTCCCGAAGTCTAAACAAAACACCAATCCTTTCAAATAATTTGTTTTGTTATTTGTTTTGAGTTTTATATTTCTTATTGAATTGTTTTATCGTATAAATTAATCTTAATTTATAATTTAACATACATTTTACACAATATATAAAAATATCTATAATAAAATGAATAAATTGCTGAATAAATATATCGACTAAATAATACAATACATGAAAATGTGGTAATATTATACAGTATACTGTATAACAAGAAGTTTTGTATTTTAAAAATCTCTACAGATTTATAAGTTACTACAGAATTGTACAAAAACTGATATATTATACAAAATCTAATAATTAGTTTCTCTTTTCATGTATCACTCGTTATTTAAGATAACTTTTGGTACCAAAAAGATTTTCTTAACTTATTTTAATCAAAACTTTTCGCGTGAACTTATTTGATTCAAAATTAGCCGGTACAAAGATTTTCAAATTTAAACTCAATTTCTGTTATAAATTATCACTTTTATAGTTCACTCAAAGAGTTGATCCATAAGAATGCATCTATTGATAGCATTCCTATTGATTTCGCCACAGATTCTCACTATTGATGGCAAAGTGGGACCAACTGTTGCCTCCAGAGGCGGACCACCAGCTGCTGATAATATAGGCGACTCTGGTATTGACGACAAAGACGAGTCTCCCGGTGCCGACGAGGGAGACAATGGCGGCTCAACCCTCGATGTCATATCTTCTGGGCCTATGGATGTGATGGGAACCCCTCAACCGATCGGAGACTTGGAGTTTGACGTCGAAGTGGACGAACAAATCCCACGAAAGGGTCAAAAGGCTCCAGAGGTTGATGTCGAGGGAGATGTGAGCATAGGATCGACATCTGAGTGCATATTATCTTATATTTCTTGTGATAACCATTTGAGTAGAAAAACAATCCGATGGGAGACGACGGCCGGGTATTGTCAGACGTATCGGTGGATTTGGTGTCAAAGTCGGTCAAACGGATCGGTGACATAGAGCTGGACATGAATGTCATGAACGCTAAGACCCGACACCCGCACCACCAGAATCCAGATGTATGTCCACTAATTGACTGAATACCATGAATAATAATAACTAAAAATCTATGGGTTTAGGAGCCGGGCAATGAGGAGGACGTGGCTCTACAACAACAACAGGGGGACCAGACTCCTGATGCCACTCCTGATCCCGCTGCAAACCCTGATAATCCGCCTCCCGGTGAAGCGACTTTACCTCCTGAAGCTCCAGTGGATCCCGTGAACCCAGGTAATGATACGACTACTGCAGCTGATAATGGAGGACCGCCTACAAATGAAACCCCCGCTGCCGATCCCCCACCCCCACCACCACCCGATGAGACCACAAGTCTTGGTGACCCGCCCACGACCCGACCGACACCGACCACTACTAAGCCCGCGGGTGGAAAGGGTGGCAATAAATCCATTCCTTGGGTCCCAATAGTGATCGCTTTTATCATCATTTGTGTCGTTCTCATTGGACTCATTTGGTACTCAATTAGTGTCTTAAAGTCCATGATTTGGTCTAAGCTTTGTGTTACTATTTTGTAGGTGTTATACGAGATTCAATAACATTACCAAAAGTCTGGATAACTCGATGGAAGAGCCCAGAATCGGTGGTAAGCTTACTGTATGTCTTAAGACTGAGAATAGATTTTATATGCGATTTCCTGTCCATTAATAGCGGCCACACTCGCGAAGCCTACGTCCACAACAGACGGACCTCCCGGTGAGACCACATCGGAGGGAATGGGAGCACAGAATCCTAAGTCTAAGTCCGACGATAAGTTGGACCAAATTCTGGAGCCAAAATATATATGAATCAAAACTTCAAAAATAGGCCTAAATGTCCAATATAGTAATGCATTGGATTTCACATGTAATATACAATTTTCAATATAAATTAGTAATTTTTGATATTTTAAACTTTTGTATTTAGGCCTATCTTTGAAGTTTTGATTCATATATTAAAAGATAAATTAGATTTATTCTTAATTACTAAATGTAAATTTGAGTACCCAACAAGTACCGGTATTACTTAAATTATCAAAATTACTTTCAAAATTTATTTGAACACAAAGTTTTATACAAAGTATTTTAAAAATTGTATAAACATTTTGCTAAATTATTAAATATAAATTAAGCTTGAAATTATAATTTATTTAAACAAAATCATAAACAAATATTTATGACAGAATACTAATTGGTGTAACATTACAAATAATTTAATAGGGATTTACCTTTAATAATTATAATGTTAGCATTATGATAAATTTTTAAAAAGTTAGTTTAGGCAAAGGGGTATAACACGTAACATCATCTATTTACAACGTGTTATGTACTTCACTGCATTAATTTGCTAAATAAATAAATAATTATTATTTCAGTACTTAATTAATTTATTAGATATACAGTATACATACACTTATGCAAACTTATCTAACAAACCTTTATCACACATACATTATAAGCACAAAAATTAAACACTATTTTATAATTTATACCAAAAACCTAATCAATACAAACATGAAACTGTCGACACCTTACTTCACATCAACAATATCCTCAACATCGCCATCAATATCATCCAGCAATACATTCATTGAATCGATGGTCACTTGTCGTGAATAAAATAGCATAGCGTTGGGCACCATATTAATGATGAAATTAGTGCCCACAGACCAGAACCCATTTGGCATGAGTTCCCGACTGGCATTCAGGGGACCCATCGGCGACTCGGCCCAGAAGTACCTAAAAAACGAGTCCTTCCTATCGTGACACCCATTCCTCGATGGTTTCCATCGGATCGGTGTCGACATACACCTACTGGGCCTCAATTGTTGCGCGTTCCTCGGGTTCACCACATATAGGATGTGTTTTGTGAGCACTTGGTTGGCGAAGTAGATGTTGTCACTGAAGTGGAAATCAATGGTAAACTTCTTGAGCTGCGGGTAGAACACCACTCGTAGGTCAACCATGTGTCTGAATATGTGTCCATCAAATTGCTGCAGATTTAGCTCAAAGTCTTCGTAGGATTTGAATACTTTGCGCCAATAGTCGAGTATTGGTTGGCTATATATTACGATCCCTTTCACGGAGTACTTGGCCTCCCGGTGCCGGTTTAGTAGCTTATAGTCTGCGGCTACTATTTGGCGACCATTTTCCACGAGCGTCTCGTATATTGTCTCCAATTTCTTCTGGAAAGTCAGGATATTGTGAACCAATTGTTTGTCTATTATATTGAATCGCGTTTTTAGTAGACTTTTAGATATATCACGAGATTTATCGTCATTTTCTAATAGGGAGTCACTCTCTGAACACAAATCGCTGGATATATCGACTGAAATGTCTGTGATATCGTTGTCCAACAACTCGTACGACATTTTTCCGGTGATATATTTGCGCGAAATGTTGATAATTTTCAAAATATTCATAATATTCATAATAAGGTTTTTATTTTGAAATGCCGTGACTTTCCGATATCAATGGTAGCTATGATATTAATAAAATACCATATATTTTAATGCATTTTTATAGTCTATTGATTAGTACAATACTGTGTGTTTAATTATACACCATTGACATAGATTCTGTGCCCTAGTATACTATATTTATATTGATATATAAGTACATAACCTCAAGATATGAGAAGCAAATAAATGGTGATTTAGCATTGTATACAATATTTTAGTGAATAATATTCTGTATTTTACATAATTATTGTTATCGATTTTATTCAAAATATTATTTATCAAAGACATTTGATAATAAAGCATGTATTAAATAAAATTTTACTTCCATAAATTAGACTAGGAAAATTATTTATACCATAAAAAAGTTAATAAAAAGTTTGTCTTGACAATTTTGCCATATAACTTGAAACATAACTTGAATAATATTATGTGTCTAATTATAGTACAGCAATAATAAATAAATATAAAACGAATACAGGTATCTAATTTTACCTAATAATTATACACTAACTAAATCATAAACTAAATCCAAACTTAATAAACTAAACAATTTCTACCATACACAATAAATGTACAAACAAAAACCTTAGTATTATGACATCAAAATTAATATCAAAATTTTTAAATTAAATAATACAATATTTGCATTCTTATACTAAATTCAAACTGTTAACTTCATAATAATTTTCATACTTTTTTCATTTTATTTTTATGAGACTTTTGTATTAATTTATAATTGTTTTTAAAATAAAATGAATTATTAATTATACAAAAATAACCCACGTCTCAATATTTATATTAAAATAAAAATAACCAACTTAGTTTTAAAAAGTTATTTCCACAACAAAAATAAGACAAAACCAATTCTCAAAGTTTATATCCATAGTATATATTCGGGGCACAAAATGTGAGCAAAAAACACATAATCAAAAGCCATACGATATGCTAATAGCATATCGTATGGCTTTTGATTATGTGTTTTTTGCTCACATTTTGTGCCCCGAATATATACTATGGATATAAACTTTGAGAATTGGTTTTGTCTTATTTTTGTTGTGGAAATAACTTTTTAAAACCAAGTTTTTATTTTTATTTTAATATAAATACTGAGACGTGGGTTATTTTGTATAATTAATAATTCATTTTATTTTAAAAACAATTATAAATTAATACAAAAGTCTCATAAAGTTATCAGTTTGAATTTAGTATAAGAATGTAAATATGGTATTATTTAATTAAAAATTTTTGATATTAATTTTGGTGTCATAATACTAAGGTTATTGTTTGTATATTTATTGTGTATGGTAGAAATTGCTTGGTTTATTAAGTTTGGATTTAGTTTATAATTTAGTTATTGTATAATTATTAGGTAAAATTAAATACCTGTATTCGTTTTATATTTATTTATTATTGCTGTACTATAATTAGACACATAATATTATTCAAGTTATATTTCAAGTTATATGGCAAAATTGTCAAGACAAACTTTTTATTAACTTTCTTATGGTATAAATAATTTTCCTAGTCTTATTTATGGAAGTAAAATTTTATTTGATACATACTTTATTATCAAATGTCTTTGATAAATAATATTTTGAATAAAATCGATAACAATAATTATGTAAAATACAGAATATTATTCACTAAAATATTGTATTCAATGCTAAATCACCATTTATTTGCTTCTCATATCTTGAGGATATGTACTTATATATCAATATAAATATAGTATACTAGGGCACAGAATCTATGTCAATGGTGTATGTTTAAAACATAGTATTGTACTAATCAATAGACTATAAAAATGCATTAAAATATATGGTATTTTATTAATATCATAGCTACCATTGATATCGTAAAGTCACGGCATTTCAAAATAAAAACCTTATTATGAATATTATGAATATTTTGAAAAATCTCAACATTTCGCGCAAATATATCACCGGAAAAATGTCGTACGAGTTGTTGGACAACGATATCACAGACATTTCGGTCGACATATCCAGCGATTTGTGTTCAGAGAGTGACTCCCTATTAGAAAATGACGATAAATCTCGTGATATATCTAAAAGTCTACTGAAAACGTCATTCAATATAATAGACAAACAATTGGTTCACAATATCCTGACTTTCCAGAAGAAATTGGAGACAATATACGAGACGCTCGTGGAAAATGGTCGCCAAATAGTGGCCGCGGACTATAAGCTACTAAACCGGCACCGGGAGGCCAAGTACTCCGTGAAAGGGATCGTAATATATAGCCAACCAATAC